AACATTAGCTTGCCACATTACTTGTTATTTTCCACAGTCTGACTCTACAGATACCTTGTAATATGAACAGTTTATTCATGTGAGATGAAGGAAATTGTACTCATAAAAGCTTGAAACTCCTTTTTTTTAACTATTAAAAACAGAATCAGGGCATTTTTCATAAAGTCAGACTCCAAAGCATGACTTGTCATAGCAGATCAGACTATATGTCATCTCTGTGTGTAATAGTCAAAGTCTGTGTACGTACTTGAATGGCTTTTCTTGGGATTTAGAAACATTTTCTCTATTAGAGATCTTCATGCATAAAACCTCAGGTTTAAATACTCTGTTCCTTTGAGCAGTTTATGCAATGTAATGCTGGTACTTTCGTACCTCACAATGTCTAAATATCATGCTGTATGCAAATGTGATGTGTATCAGTTATATATCAACAGCTGGATTATTATCTCAGAATGACAAAGAGAAACAGTGACCATGAGCTGTAGTGCTTCTACTCTGCATTTAGAATTGGGAAGCTAAAGCTATACTTGATTTGTCCTTGAAACTTTGTGTTGTTCTAATCCCCTTCATCTGATTAGTTTAGAAAAATGTGGAACACGTTTCTTAGTTGCAATCAATGCTTCAAACTATGAAAGAAATGTGCTAGAACAGGTCCTGCTGCAGGGGCATGTGACTGATCTTGCTGTTTTCTAATCATACTCTTTTCAGCTCAGCTTTCATAACGTAGTATGTTACGAAATAAAATGTATGTGGGTGTCTTCAACTGTATCTTCAGAGATAGCGTATAAAATCATGTTTTATTTTCTAAATACTTGATTTTATTTTTTTTTCCTGTCAGCAAAAGCTCTGGGAGAAGGTTGCCCAAGGAGGCTGTGGATGCCCCATCCCTGGAGGCAATCAAGGCCAGGCTGGATGTGGCTCTGGGCAGCCTGGTCTGGTGGTTGGTGACCCTGCACATAGCAGGGGGGCTGAAACTAGATTGTCATTGTGGTCCTTTTCAACCCAGGCCGTTCTGTGATTTCCAAACAGTGTGTTTGGTAGTACTTCTAATTCCATCCTCCCTGACATTCTATGTAGGTTAAAGTTTCTAGGGATATACAGGAAGAAGCATTTTGTCAGAAGCCTAACAGTCTGTATCTCAGAATAAGAAAGAAGGTCTGTAATGTGTGAGAGAGAAAATTCTGAGTGGAACTGTACTGGATTCTTCAGCAGGGTGGAGGCTCCATACTCCTCTTACGTACATTTCCACTCTGGACCCTTGACTTGGGTATTAATGTGTGTTAAGCAAGCTCAGCTTCAGAAGCAGTAGTCCAGGGATTGTGACAGAGCACCCTGAGACGTGGGCGATCAGCTCAGACCTCTTGGGCTAGGAAGGATCTGAAATTTATATTTCCCATTTTCAGGGGGCATTGCAGCTACAAGCTTCCTAAAACAAAGTTGTGAGCACCCTTCAGTTTTCAGCTGGACTTGCTGTTAGTAAAACAAATGAGTTTGGTTCTGCTGTAGTGGGCAGGTGCAGCTCACTGAAACGGATGCAGAAAGCATTCAGGCCTCTTAAAGGAAGGGACCTTTGTGGTCACAGACAGAGGTGCTGGTTGATTTGAGGTACCTCCAGGGTTCAGGCAGAAATTCAGAGCTGTTCTCTGAATCTTGGCTGCTTAAACATTCTAATTACTAGTTAAGTAGATCATTTTAAGAATCTCAAACTGAAGTTGAAGGGAACTAGAAATCCAATTTGAGGATATAAATATGAGGTGTTAACTGCCCTGAAGAAATGAATATCACATTTGTTTGCATGGTGTAACAGGAGGGCCCTTAGGGTCAAAATCATACATCTGTAAAGTAAGTAGCAAGGAGCATAGTATGATTTCATGGGACATAGTAGCTTAATGTGGGCCGAGTTACTTGAGGAGTGTCTTGAAAGCAGTTATATAATCTGCAGCTGCTGCTTTCTACCACCTGAGGTCCTCTTTTATCCCTGATCAGTAGTGTCCTGTTGTCAGAGTACGGTATGTACAAGAATAACACGCAGTTAAAATGCTTTGTTGCAGTTTTGAAAATGAAATTTTTTTTTCAGAAGCATTACAGTATTAAGTTGGGTATTAGTTACCTTTTCATATCTGTGAATGATTTAGAACTGTGATTGCTGGGTTTCTTGGTTGACAATTTCTCATCTCTTACAATGCCCTGTAAAGTGATTTGCTGATACTTAATTTGCTTTGTTAACATTTAGCAAGTTCAGCTATGTTAATGTTTGTATTTTCAATGCAGTTCTCTTCCCCTCTCTGACTTCAAAAACATGTAGTGATTTGTGATTGTGGTGCCTGACATGTGCCTTCAAGTTTATTTCTAAGTAAGGTGAATGCAGGTATTTGGGAGACACTGACTTGAGCAGGTTTGAGCTTGATAACCCTTGGAAAAGAAGAAAACTGAGTTGCTTTTTTCTCTCTACACATTAGTCAGTGTTTTTCACAGTCCATGGTGTTTTTTCATGTGATTACCATTAAAAACTGTAAAAGGGGGGGAAAAAAAAAAAAGGCAACACAAATGTAGAAAGGTAAACAACAGTCTTCCTCAGGGAAAAAAAAGAAGTGCACTTTCTCTTTGTGAAGGCATTTGAAAGTGAATGCAGTTTTAAGTTTGACCTAGCAGGATGTAAATTGGTAGATGCATTTCCTGTCTCTCTCCAGTTCTTGGTTAAGTATTTCTCTTTTGGGTGTTGATAGGAACATTTGCATGCATGGATGGGGAGCTGCGTGAGACTGAAGATCTGGTAGTAAAAACAAACCAAAACAACTAGACAACCTTTTTTGTGGCGCAGGGGCAGTCTTGCTCTTTGATCTAGCAGTTGCAAGCTATCTAACTGTCCAAATGGTTGTATTGACACAAAAGATTCTGGGAGGATTAAGAATTAGAATTAAGAGGAACTCATTTAAACTGTCTCTGTCCTTGGGAGAATGCTGGATGAATCATGAAATAATTGGTGTGCTTTATGTAAAGTATTTCTGTTTTGTAAACTCAGACGTAAAGAAATGAGTTGGACTTGGAAATAAATATGGGCTTGCTGACGTAATATCTCCCTGCCTGGAGGCTTTTACACCGCATGGTAACAAAGGGGAGGTTTGTACCTTCTTGAGTTTGGAGTGAAGGTATGTGGTATAATGGGCTGTGGTTCTTGTGGGACTGGCCCATTCTGGCTGCAGCGTACATTCCATTGTTTGGCAGGCAGAAGTGGAAAACAATGTCTCTTTTGTTTTTCCCTATGGATTTCTTTGCAGATCTAGTTTTATGGATCAGAGGTTATACTTGGGCATTCACGTATTCAAAAATATTTTGAACTTTAATGCTGTTTGTTTTACAGCTGTGAATAGCAGTAGTGATGGAAGCTGTAGTCTAAGGAAAGATTTGTAAAGCCAAATACTACCTTTTATTTTAGACTAATGTAAGTAGGGGAAAAAAACCCTGAACCTTTCTAGGGTCAAAATGTCCTCAGATGAAACTTTGTCTTTCTGTATGAGATGCCTTTCTTTAGCTATTTATCAGTTTACAGCTGCATGAGAGTTGAGAGAAGATTGGTGTGCATGTATGAGAGAGAATGTTGTTTTATTCTGAACCAATGTTGGTCTGTGTACTTCAGTGTGACAAACGGGTACTCTTAAAGGAATTGTTCCTCCGACCAGAATTGGAACAGATCAGCTGAATTACAACTTGGTGCTCCTACTGGGTAAAAGCCTTTGGGATGACATACAAAGCTTATGGCTTTGGGCTGCTTTAAGCTACCATACACATTTCTCTTATATGTAAAATATATTTATACTGTAAAATATTGCTAAGAGAGGGGCAGGAGGGTCTAAAGAAATAATTCTTGTTTTTAACTGCTTGAAATTTCAAACATTTCCATGTCTTAGTATGCGATCTTTCAAGATCTCTTACTCAGTTTTCTACTCAGTGAGAGGTAAGACATGAGCGTCTCACTGCCTCACCGAGTCGTTAAGGGTCGTTTTAAAAAAAACAACCCTGTGTGTGAGCAATTAACTGAAGGCTGCGTGCTAACGCACTGCCTCTAAGTGACTACGACCTTAAGGTTAGCCCTTCACTTTCTTTTAACTTAACCTTTCGGAAACATACGCATATTTCTGGGCGGGTAATTTCTATACTACCCTGCCGAGGCAGTGCCGCAGCACTCTCCTTTCAGCAGCGCTGCAATATAGAGCAGCGCAGTGCAGCCGGGCCGTCCCTGGACGGACGTAAGCGCGGTGCTCGCTCTGAACGGCAGCGCCCCCCGGCTGCCTTCCCGCTCAGCGCCCGGAGCTGCTCCCTGGCGTTCCTGCGGGGAGAGGCGGGTGGGTGAGCGCACGGCATTCAGAGGCGCAGAGCACCCGCCGAGGAGCGGGATCCCAGCCGGATCCTCCCTGACTCGCGGCGGTTCTTGGGCCGCACACCACGTGCGCTCGCTTTTCAATCGCCGCAGCTAAGGCATGGCGGAAAGGCGCAGAGCCTAAACTCGGACCGGCAGGAAAGGATCGAGAAAGCGGTTGCGGTTCGCCGAAGCCGCCTCCCCCAGCGACCAAAGCGACCCACGAGAGCAACCCTCCACCTTCCCCGTCCCCACGGCTCTGCAAAACGTCGCTAGCGGTGCACGAGGAAGCTCTGCCCCTCGCAGCAGAGGCCCTGCCCTCCACCCTGTTGAACCAATCGCACGGGGCCGTGGGCGCGGCCCTTCTGTTCCTCAGCCAATCGGAGGCACGGCTGACACAAAGTAGAGTTCGTTGCACGCGCTTTCAAGACCAGAAAAGATTGCCAGCAGTAACGTCCAATCGTAATAAAGGGAGGCGGGGTTGGCTCGGCCGCAAACCCAATGGGAGGGCGAGAGCCGGGGAGGGAGGCGGTACGGGGCAGGCAGAAGGAGAGTGGCGGGAGCCTGAAGCAATAGGGGAGCAGACCCCCGAGCAGCCCGAGCCAATGGGTACCGCCGGTGGGCGGGGCGGGGGCGGCCGTGCCTGGGCTCTGTGATTGGGAGAGGGGCAGCGGGAGCCTGGCCGGGCAGGGCCGTGTGTGCGCCGCACGAAAATGCACTCGGATGCCGGCGCTGTCAGTGAGTAGCGGCGGGCCGCGCCGCGCTCCCTCGCCCGCTCTGCAGCGGCCTTGCCTGACCGGCCTGCCGCCAGGCCCTGCCGCCCGCTCGGCTCCTCCGCAACTGGTTGGGGCGGCGCGGCCGAGCGGCGCCTCATTCGCATGGGAGGGCGCCGGGCCGGCGGGCGCGGGGACGACGACGGGCAGGCCGGGGACGGCGGGCCGGGGGACGGCCCTCGGCAGGCTCCGGGCGGGCGGGAGGGGCCGGGCGGGGAGGGGCGTGCGGCAGTGGGGGCGGCAGGAGCGGCGCCGTGCGGCTCTCGGAGGCTATGACGCAGTTTCCCCGGCCCGGCTGGGAGAACGGCGGGCTGGGGGCCGCGGGCCGCCCGAGCGGAGCGGCGGCGCGAAGGGGAGAAGGGAACGAGGGTAGGCGGGCAGCGGCGGTGCTGCCCCGCGGGAGAGGTGCGTGCGCGGAGGGGGGCTGTGGGCGGAGCGTTTCCTTCGGGCCGGTGCGGGAGAAACGGGCTGCGAGGGGGGATCGGGCGGCGCATTGTGGGAGGTGGAGGCTCTTCCGTCGCTGCTCCGCGCGGGCGGGCTGGGGGCGGGGGGGCCTTCGGACTACAACTCCCGGCGTCCACCGCGGCGCGCTGAGCCCCGCCCCCAGCCAGCTGCTTCGCCGCCCCGGGCCGAGCGGAGACCCCGGGCCGGGCCCGGTCGTGGCGCTGGGGGCGGCGCGGGGCATTGGGAGGGTCTCGTCTGTGTGTGGGATGGCGCCCCTCGCCGCGCTCCCCGAGGTGCTCCCGGTGCTGTGCAGCCTCCTGGGAGGGAGGGGGGGGGGGTGTTGGGAGTCACGGCCCTGGGGCGCTCTCCGCTGCTGGGCTTTGCGAGCGGGGGCTGCGGCCCTGCGCGGTAAGAGGGGGCCGCGCTGCCGGGAAGGGCAATGGGCGCCAGGCGTTATGAGGGGCAGCGCGTCAGCGGGCCTGGGCTCCCCGAGCCCTCGGTGCTGCTCAGAGAGGGAAACTGGGCAGGGAGGTGCAGAGCCCGTTCACGGTGACGTTATGTAATGTCTTTAGCAGTCCTGGTTTAGTCTACCTTTATGTTTATCATTATGTCGTGGTATCGAATGCTCCCACTGAAGCAGAAGCAGCCACCTTATATTGGAAACAGGAGGATATTTTTTCTAGAAAGTGCCTTTTGTTTGCTCCCTTTGCAGTATCCTCTGTCTAAAAACCAGAAGGTGCAGGTCTGTATTACGCACTTGTGGGCTGCAGCTGCAGCTACTCCAGCACTCCCTAACGGAGGGTGCTGGAGGTGGTGCAGTGATTTGTGGTTGTTAATTTCTCTGTGTAGAACACACAGAGTACTGCTGCTCATGCTTCAGCTGTTGCTGTCTTCTCCTTCAAAAGGTCCCTTGCACCAATTTCCATCTTCCACCACATTATATGGCAAAGCCTTGAAGTGCCTATATGTGTATATGTGGTATTTTCAATAGGAATTTTCCTAAATTAACTTGTATCATTACCTGTAGATTCATACTTCCTTTTCTTTTATTTATTCTTCTCCTTTTCTTTTGCTTTTTTTCCAGTGTGGAAATGCTTGAAACAAGAATTAATGTTTCTGTTGAGTCTTCTTTTTGATCCTCTCTATTCCGTTAATACATTTTTGCTCAATTTTTCTATGAGTGATTTTTTTCCACATTACATGAGAAGCACAACTTTCCGTTTCTCCTCTTCTCTTAAAAGTTTCTTGCAGCTCCAATCAGTGTGATCAAAGATGGTTTCTATTTACAAGGCAGTAAGTCAATGAAAGGCAATAAGCTGAGTAAGGCAAGAAAACAGCTTTCCTATCAGTGTTTCTCTTTATTATTTTGTATCAGGATGGGATTTTATTCGTATTATTTTAGTACTTGGTTTGTTTTTGTCTGGGTAACTTGTGCTAACTTGAGGCGAGTTGTTAATTTATCTTCTTTACTTTTTCCCCCTTGCTTTGGGATCGGGAAAATAGTTCCCCCCATCATTACATTCCAGTTCATGTATTTGCCTCTTCAAGCAGAAGAGGAAATCACGCTTGATTTCTATGATGTGCTTTATGGAAAGCAAAGAGCTGGGAAATAGGGTTAAAAATTTTAGGAAAATGCTCACCTTTTGCGCTCAATTTAGGTATTAGGTATCCCCACCTTAATGGTGGGGATGTGTGTCCTTCTGCAAGAAGTAATGCTGCTCACAAAGACTTAAAGCAGAAGCCTTATTTTAAAACTGCCTCTTGCAGATCTCGTATAAATGCTTTTCATGTATTGTCCATTTTAGATATTTTTCTTAAAAATGTAAATCTGAGATTAAACACAATTTCTCATTATGGCTCATAAAGAGATTAAAAAAAAAAGAGAAAGCAACAAAAAACATCCAGTTCATGCAGTGATTTTTATTTGATTTTAAAATATACACTGCTGTTAGAGCCATGTTCCAGTGCCATTTGTAGCAGGTGTGTGAGGGCACAGGCACTGCTGCAGCTCATAGCTGAAGCTTACAGCTTCTGTGGCTCTGCTGGTGCAGGGCTACAGAGGAGCACTCTCTAATCCATCAGTCAAATGTATCTGGGTTAACTCTTGCCAGTTCCTTAAATTGGCTCAACCGACATGGTAGCTTTTCGCCTGCAGTGGATTAAGGAACATGCCCATGACCTGTGCTGCTGGCAGAGCCATAGAATCTGTAGCTTTTGGCAGAGAAGAGAGAAGCAAGCAGCTGGGACAGCAGTGCTTGTGCCTGGCGTAGCTGTTTGTAGGCTGCTGCAGTTTCATCCTGATGTACTGATCCGTGTCGTGCCGGACATCCTAGCAGTGCATACCAGGGTTGCATTTCTGCTGAATTAGCTGGAGCACAAGACACAAAGTTTTTATTAGCTTTATACCCTTTGTAGGATGGCAAATGATACCTAATCTGGCATGAAGTTTGGAGCAGTGCTGGCAGTCTGTGCTGTGGCCATAGCATCCAGTGATACAAAGTTAACTCATTGACGTATTTTGGAATGAACTTGATGCTAGAGTAAGAGAGTGGATGAGTACACTGCAGCAAACGTCTGCAGGCTAGCTCTGTATTAAATGCCTCATAGCTGCATTTCCTCTGTCCTGCTCGTGACGTCAGGAGCACGAGCCCACTAAAATACTGTTTGATTTTATAATGTATGCTTTAGAAATAGGTTTAAAAAAGATGTAATTGCCCCCAGCTTTATTCATTCTTTTCCATCTGTGCCTGGCCATTCCATTTCTATGATATCCTGACAAGAATCTCCTCTAGGAATGCTTATCGGGCACATTTAGTGGGCACGCAGGCTGTGGTATTTGCAGCAACAGAAACAGATGTATTACACCATAAATGCACACAGTGTTAGATCTTTGGCTAAAAACCAAAACAAAACATGAGCCGGTGCACAGAGTTTATTTTAAAGTGTATATGATAGAGTAGCTGTGATTTGTTCTAATTAAATTAAAGATTAATGGACATTCAGAGGAAAGGAATGGCTATGTAACATGTCTGCTGCTTAAATTGCTCCGAAATTCTCAGTGAACTTTAAACCTCAGTAGCTCTTTCTGTAAACAAGCCTCCAGGTCAGGGTGCTTATTACATACCTGGGTGAAAGAAGGATTGGTTCCTATGAAGGAAAGATTAGTGCTTTTCCCTTTCCCTATCTGCAGAGCATGCAGTAGTTTCACAGTGCTTTGCTACAAGTACCGTGAGTGACTGCTGATGTAATACCAAATGTTGCGGTGAAGGTTTGTGTTAAGATGGTACCCTTTAAGTTCAGTGTGCTGTCATTTCAGCCACATTTTGTTGTCAGGGCTTTATTTTAATAATGTGAACCACTGTCTTGCTTCAGGATGTTTTAGGGTGTAGGGTTTGGAAGACACGTGCAAGCTTTCACACATGTATTCATGCTGTGCTGGCATCGGCAGTTCTGGCGTTGAGTTCAGAGCTGTGGTGCACACGTGCCCGCAGGGGTTGTGCCCTGCAGCATGGCACAACAGCCAGGAGGGCTCAGCCTGCTTGTCTTCCATTTAATTGGAAGCCCTTGCACTTCAGGTAGGAATTCACTTGAGCTCTCTTTCTGAATCAAGGATGCCCCATCCCTGGAGGCATTCAAGGCCAGGCTGGATGTGGCTCTGGGCAGCCTGGTCTGGTGGTTGGTGACCCTGCATATAGCAGGGGATTGAAACTAGATGGTCATTTGGTCCTTTTCAACCCGGGCCATTCTATGATTCTGTGGTACTCAAGGAAGAGTCTGTGTGAGAATAAAGTGCCATGTTTCTTTCTGGCGTGGACTTTGTGACAAGGCTGTAGGGATCTGTAAGGTTGTGCCTTCTCTCTCACTTTTTGATTGGTAAAGAGCGGTGAAACAAAAGTGTAACAATCTTGCAAAGGTCTTAGAACAAAAACTGTACTGTAACCCTCTTGTAAAAGTTGTAGAGCCAACACCTATTGTACCCAAGTGCCAGGGAGGAGTCCCAGTGAGTCGCTTTGTTTAAGGCGGCCTCGAGTCGGCCGTGGGCTCAGAAAGTGACTTAATTCATCCTTGGGCAGGAATGCAGTGTCAGTTCCTGACTGCTCCATATGCTTATTGTACTGCACTTGGGGATCTCTGTCTTTAGGTGTGTTGTTTTCCTGTAAATGAAGACAAAACATTTTCATTTGTTTTCTACACTCAAATATAGAAATTCTACTTTCTGCATGTAAGTACTGAAGGCTTCCACCAAACGTAGGCGTCAGATCTGAACGTCTAAACTCATTGGTCAGTATAAATTGTTGTGCCATTAGGATACTTCTGTAAGCAGATCAGGGAGCATAACATCGTGTTATGATGTAGTTCATAATGATTACATGATTCTTTTATTGGATAAGTAAGGTTTATTCAAAATCAGTTAGGGAGGTGATACTTTGGACTAATATTTCTCCTATTGCTACAAGTTTTCTCCATTTCTGCTGTTTGAAGCCAGAAACTGTATTAAATAATAAAAAAAAAAAGCTGAAACATTCCATTCTAATTTTCAGGGCATGAGTCTGCCCGGTATGTGTTTCTGTCTAATTGTTTTCCGAGAAGCTTTTACCAAATGACAGCATTTATACTGTTGGATAGAACTTTACAGTCATAAAAATTGCAATGACTCCTTCCTCTCTGAAGTTCTTAACGCAGAGTTGCATCTGTAGCATTCATGTGTCACGTCTGTCTGGCATGATATTTTTAGACAGACTGGTAGATTTAGACCTAATGCTAATAGAGATTTCCTATTTGCTGACATTATCTAGAAGCTTTTAATGGAAGCCTGGGAGCCTACTGCTGGCCTGATCTGGTGCTGGTGCAGGTTGATGGTAGGTCATGGTGCACCCAATAGTTATGGTGTGTCAGAGCTTTGAAGTGATAATTTTAACAGCAGGAAATAAGCTACAGGTGTCAGGCAGGTAAGTGCCATGTGTGGGTGGGCACAGAGTTAGAAATACTCTTTAGGTATTCATTTGTGGTCTCATTTGAATAGTTTGGCAGCACGTGGTTTCCTGTGATAAAAATTTTATATATATATATATATATATATTTCTGAAAATGTGATTTCATGGATTTGAATTTGACATTTCAGGTAGAAAATATGCAGCTTCCATTCACTTCTGTCATTTGCTTATATTTAAAATATATATTGAGGTTTTTTTGGAGGGGAATGGGGTGGAGGGAAGGGGAAATAAACTATGTTGTGTCTCATTGCATTTCTTAAATTTGTCTCAATGAAGGATGTAGAGCTACTTTTATAAAAAAAATGCCCAACCAGTTGCTCTCTTCTTTGCCTCTCCATAACTGTCAGGTCTAAATTTTGTAAATTTTAATATTAAAGTATTTTAAAAGTTATTTTAAATTTTTTTGTTTTCTAAAATTAATTTGTATGTGACTGGGACTAGTTAAATAACCCAGACATTAGCACTTGTTCTTAACGCTGAACTGTGGATAAGGGTGAAGTTCCATTTTATGAGGCTGGTTCTGGCATTTCTTTCCTTTCTGGATGGATTTGCAATTATTTTATCCAGATTTTTTTTTTTTTCCTTAGCTGTTGTGTTGTTGATTATGTCAAACTATTTAATAGCATTTGGGATTTCCATTGCTTCAGTCCATTGCTAAAGGTAGGCTGGCATCTGTAACAAAAGCAAGCGTAGGGTTTGTAACATAGCATGTCTTTTCTTCAGGATTCCTGAAACAAGCAGCTTTCCTCCACTTGATCCCAGGTTGTTTTTCCTTTTCTTTTACTGCAGTAATAAAAGCAGAATAGAATCATAGAAGCTTGGAATAGTTAAGGTTGCAAAATACCACTATGATCATCTAGTCCAACCATTGATCCATCACCCCATGCCCACTAACCACATCCCTCATCAGTGCAGTTCCTGAGTACCTGTAGGGACAGTGACTCCACCAGCTCCCTGGGCAGCCCATCCAATGCCTCACCACTCTTCCCGAAAATAAATTTTTCCTACTGTCCAACCTGCACCTCCCCTGCCACAGCTGAAGGCCGTTACATTTTCATCATTCCAGGCTGGTTGATCTGCATTGAAACTCTTGTGTTCAGATGACAAATGGCTTCACCTAGGCCGACTTCCTTCACATGGAATCTGTACCAGCTGCTGCTGGGTGCGGAGCTCCTGGAGGTGCAGCTGGCTGGGCAGCTGATGAAGTGCCTTGCGGTGCCCGGCTGCAGCTAGCTGCTCAGCGATGCTTAATGTGTGTCTGTGCCTTCTGCTGGCTTTCTGAGTGGTATCACAGGAGTGTGAGAGGGAGTATTTTTCAGATTCTGTTCATTGAAAAGCAGCTTTTTTGAAGTATAGCTTCTCAGTATTGTGGAATAGTTTTGTGCCTGTTCTTTGCAGTGTGGGTACAACAAACACTGCGACCAAGTTCAAAAGGGAACTTGAGCTGTAATTAAATTTCCCAATTATTTTGGCTGCCACTCATGTTTGCTTCTATACCAATAGTTGACAAAGCAGCTTATTTTTGCTTTTGGATCACAGCCCCACTTTGGAAGCGTCCCCTGTGGAGAGACAAAACTTTGGATTCCTGTTTTGTTCTAGAAGCCTTAGTATTCATGTGGATATACCAGTCTGTGCACAGCCAAGGTGTGATGCTTGTCGTGTAAGAGCTCTAAAATATATTGCTGCAGCTCCTCCAAGACCATCATAATCGTGTAAGGTTTTCTGAAGTAACAGCTTAAAGTTGTAAACTGTTTCCAATGGATGTGTGAAACGTCCTGGTGTGAATGCTGTGTTTTGAAGTGTCTAGGAGTGCTTTATTTCCAAGGCAGTGCCTAGTAGACTTAATCCTAGTTTCTAGAATACTTTTTTTCCTATTGTTGTTGTAGATAATATCTAAAATTACTGCCTAGTATTAATTTAGAAGAAATATTTGCTTAGTATTAGATGCTTGATGGCTCCAGATATCTCTGGTTTCTCTGAAGACCTGCATTCTCTGTAGGTCTTAAGCTATGCAACAGGGGAAACTGTAATGTTTGTGTTCTGAGGAGCTCCGTCTGGGCTGGCAGTTAGCAAAAACACCTTTCCTCATTGTAATCTTGCTCTTCTCAGAATAACTCTTCACCTGTCTTCCCCTCTGCACCCCCAGCTCCTCTCCAGTAAGAGGAGACTGTTTCTGTCTTGGTATAGATAAATATATCTGAAGTTTGAAATTCCATCTCTGGTGTATCTGACTTACAGAAATTGTGTTGCTGTGATGGGGAATGAGGGAGTATAGGGTAAGAAATAAGCAATTATTGGTGAAATGAGACTCTCCAGATAAGACAATAAATAGAACCTGTGATTCCTTGAAATATCTCTTTTAATTCAGCATGTTGAGAGAATTCTGTACTGATGTGTACAGCAAGTGTGCTCCTTCAATTTGTCATTTCCACTCTCCCAAGGATCTGCTGTTTAATGCAGATTGTTCATCCTTAGATCCTGTGTCATCTTCAGTGTGTTTTGGGAGCGTTTTCTTGAAATGAAATGTGGGAATTACATTTTTTCCTTACTTGTATCTTTTAGGAGGAACTGGAGAAAGCCACATTTGCTGGCAGAAGCACTGCAGCCATTAGCACACAGCAGTGACACCAGGCATGCAGTTACATTCTGCTTGCAGTGTTTTGCTTGCCAAATAGGATGTGTCTCTGTGTTGTCAGTGTTCTCTTCTGCCCAAGTTCCAGTGGGGCTGCCAGTTTGCTTTTGGTTTAAATGGAAGTATTTTGTAGTGGTTTGATGTCTTATACCTCTCTCAACTGCTCTGTGCCCAGCTTCTGAGACTCATGCTGGTTTGCATGCTCTCTGACTGGATCAAAATGGATCTTTTTGGTGAATTACTTCTTACCTAGTTTTATTCTGGACTTGTTTCTAGCAAAAAGAGGTGACTTAATGGAACAGAGAAGGACCAGCTTGTCTCTTTGTATCAGCTGAGGCAAACTCAAGTGTTCATTTGTGAGACAAGGAAGCAAAGTCAATATCTATGTTAGGGCTACTTTTATGAAGTGTCAGAGTTCCACATTTTGGGTTCTATTGGCTTTGGTCATAACTGCTGTATAGTGACTTGGGGCTCATTATGCAGAAGTCATGTTTCAGCTGTGTGTGTTCCAGTAATTTCGTTTTACAAGGAAATGAGTATAAAGACAAGTTCTTGTTTCATCATCTTTTAAAAAACAGTGTTTTCAGTGGTCATTTTAGAATGTTAGGTGGTAATTAAATTGCTTTTGGAGTAGGTGGCAGAGGAAGACTGAGTAACATGGAAACTATATAATGATTCCTCATCTTAAGGATGAAAGTTGTAAATGATTTAAATTTATCACATTTAATATAGTTGCATATTTAGCTATAGTTCTGTTTTGCTGGATATCATCCATGCCTTAAGAAGAATGCATATATAGGATTTCTTCTGGAGATTTGACTTAATGTTTTCCATTATGTGTTGAAAATGTTGGTGCTGAAAAAGGGGTGGCTTTTGTTTTATAGTCAGGTCATGGTTTGATTGAAGTACTAGAATTTATGAAGATCTTGATTGTTACAGCTGGAAACCGAGAAGTTTAAAACTTTTTTTTCTCCCCTCCTCTAGATTTTCAGCTGAATTCTCACCTATCAACACTGGCAAATATTCACAAGATTTACCACACTCTCAATAGGCTGGTAATGACTTGCCATTTTCTCTTGGTGGAATTGCTAGGGCTGTAGGTCAGAATGTTTTTGTGGTTGAAATCCTTTAGTGATTGCACTTCTAAGAACTATCACTGCTTGTCTGGCTGAGAGGCTGTGGGTTTTGAATCTGGGAACTGCAGTAAACAGTAAATACTGCTGAAAGGTTATACACCAGGGTTCAGAGTGGAGTTTTAGCCACGTTCAGTGCAACACTGGATTTGAAGTTTTTTCCCCAAACAAGTTTTCCTAGGTGATCAGGTGATGGCAATCCTTCTTACACTTACACCTTCCGTTTGTACATTGCAAATGTGGTGGATAAGACATTTCCTAAGGGGAAAAAAAAAAAGATAACTTGTTTCCAGGTTATCCAGCTGAGTTTTAACCGGGCTTTTTTTTTTTTTTTGGGCATGTGTGTGTTTAGCCGTAAGCAGTGCCACTGCTGTGGTGAAGGCTAAATTCAGATTTTCTAATATGGCATTTATTCATGGAGTTCTTTTAAAAAAGCACTGCAAAATTGCCCATTCAATGCATGGTTACTTCTACTCTTCAGATGTTGTTTGTTTTTTTGAGTTTAAAAAAGTGTTTAAAAATATTTTTCAAATTACTTGCAGATTATCCTTGAACTTTTTAGATACATTTGCAAGTATAGTTGTTTCGGTAAATACAAACCCAAAACAAAAAGCCTCTGCAGTTTCAGCTAAATGCTCCTTAAGTAGTGAAAATGAATATTAATACGGAATAGAGGTTAAAGGGTTACTGAACAATGGAGATTATGATCTTATTAAACTGTATTCATTCCTATTCTCTTGCAGAATCTGACGGAGGACGTTGGCCAAGACGATTGCCAGACAGGTATTTAATAAGGATGCAGTAGAAATAGACCACAACAATTTAATCTTGATTCATGAAATAAGTGTCTCTAGCATTATGGAAACTGAGATTTTAGGAAGCTGATGGAGTTTTAGGAAGCAGCTACAGAATCATGTTTTTCTTTTTTTAAAGATTTCTTCAAAATGTTTGTGCTTTTAAATTCCCCAATTGAGAAGAACTGGCAGGTTTCAGCAGTATGTTATTTTACAGTTTCTTTGCGTAAGTTCTTTAAGAAGACCTTATGACAAATTCCTCTCACTCCTTGGACTCAACCCATCAGACTAGCAGAATATCCATGTTCTTAGAGTGTTTTGACTCTTGAAGTTGCATTAGTGAGAACAGAGCAAAAGCAAGGCCTCTCATGGCTATTGTGTTGCCTGTGACCGAGTTTAAATGCTGTGCTCCAAACAACCCAACTCTTTTTTTTTTCAAGTGATTTTGTTGGATGGAACTTGTTCTTATTTCTTGTGTAGTTTTTCAGTAAATATCTAAGGGCAATTTCTTAGTTCCCAGTCTGTTTTCCGCTCTACAAAATGTCGTCGTTTTTGAGGCCATCATCTCACATGTGTGGTATTAGCTTGCTGCCAATTCTTGATTCATCTGCATTTGTGCTTTTTGTGGCTTGGTATCTTTTAACGTGTGCTACCTCCTTTTCTGCTTGTTCCTTAAAGCTGACATGTTCCTTGATTCCTTTTTTTTTTCATTTCTTTCTGTGTTTCAAGCATGAAACTTAAGGAGGAAGGAAAATAACTTGTTGGCTTCGAGCTCTGATATTAAGCAGAGCAGTTCTTCAAAACTGCCCACATCTGTCCTCTCGTGTCTCAAAGTTGTTCTTTCTCCTGAGGTGCTAGCTATGTGTGCTGATGTTACCCTGAGCGCTTAAGAGAGCGAGGAGAGCTGTCTGCTTCTCCTGGAGATTTCTGGAGCAAACTTGTAAGTCTACTACTCTCTTGGCTTAGAGCAATGAGAAAAAATACACTGGGATGGGATCTGACAGAACTTACCTGTGCCTTTTGTCACCTCCTCCATACTGATTTTGTTTTGTAGTTGCACTGTCATACCCTGCCAGAAGGCTTCTATCAAATGTTTTCTGTCAGTGGGCTTGGTGATTTCATACCTGAAGTTAGCTCACTGTATAAAAGCTCTACAGAAGAGGTTGTCAGATGCAAGTAGTTTTGGCAGACCTGTTACCATCCATTTGTTAGAACTGAAGTCCTCTTCTTTCTCCCAATGGAGACTTGGAATTTTTCCCTTTGTGACCTAGTTTCTTGAACAAAACCTGTATGCATCCTTATTTTGCACGTGAAAACGTGTTCTATAGTCTTTTCTCACTTTTGATTGCAAAACTGTTCTGAAGCATCAACTATTGGTTTTGAGGCAGTCAAGTTCTGTTACTAATCAATAAAAGTAAGTAGCTGTGCTTAAGGTGTTCAGAATTTCTCCTCTCTTGCTTAGCACTACCATCATAAAAGGTCAGTTAAGAAATCAGCCTTACCATTCCCATTATCTCCTTGGGAACATATTTAAGTATGTTGTTGATCTTAATGTACTGCTTTATTCTGACACTTGTTGTTATTGCCTACTTTGTGTTTGTTTGAATTAAGCTGTTTTAAAATCTTAAGCAATACTCATTGAATGAGTTTGGACACAAAATCCCAGTAAATAATGTTGTTTTTTTTTTTTTTGTAATAGCCGTAAAAGAGCCTTTCAAACTAGGAAAAAGTATGAAATGAGAGCTGAAAGTAGAAGTTGCTACTGGCAAATTCTTATATTCAGATTTCATTCTTGTGTTTCTTATGCTTCTGCCCTGTTTTATATCCCTTTGCACGAAAAAGTGAAGTCCCAATGTTTGCATGACTTCCAGCCTTGAGTTCAGTTGAAAAGTATACTTGGCCTTCCTCATGTGAGGACAAGTAGACGTTCAGGGGCTGTTTTGGCCATTGTGAATATAGTGCAGTCATGTCTCATGTGCCCACTTGTTGGGGGACTTGACACTTGTGAAACGTCGTACGGGAAAGTCTTACTTAAGTCTGGAAAAATCAAACCCATCTTTTCCAAATCATTTGATATCATTGAGCTTAATTTTATGTAATTTCTGTTCTCTGGTAGTAAGAAATGTCAAGACCTATTTTATTACGCAGCTTACAGAACTGCATAGATCTTGTGGGTTTATTTGAGATTCTACGTCTAGAACTCATTTGACAGTCATGTTAATAAATCTGTTGGGAGGGTTTCTTTGGGTGTTATCAGACCCATCTAGAGATTTGTTTTGTTTTGAGATGTTTTTCACACTTTGAGTCTTCTGAAGCACGTCTTATCCGTAGAGATTACTGTTATTTTTCTGACGTGTATGCTGGTTAATGTTGTTACAGTGGAGTCATGTATTAAGTCACCTTAAACAGTGACTTATATCTAAATTGAGTTGAGACTTCTAAAGCTGCTTGGAAAATGGAGATTTCAATTTTAGGTTACCCTTTATTTATAATAAACTTTTAATGCTTACTATATTCTTTCAAAGCAGGTATTTCTGAGCTATATAAATATGCCAGACACTGAAATTATTTTAGACAAATTCTATCTTTTCTAAGTATTACTGTTTTTTTTTTTTTTTTTTTTTTTTAAGTATCTGAGTATCTTAAGTATCTAAGAGCTGGAGGATGGGTTTTTCAGATTTTCTTCAGTGATTTGGGAACTATCCAGAACGTTATTCCAAAATATATCACACGTTACAATTATAGTCTCATAAAATGTGTTAGCATTGAGTGTGTTTATATATATCTGAAAAATAAGGTAGACTGTAAATGTGTCATGGGGCTTTAACTTATCAGCTGTTTCTAAGGGTCAGAATCACAGACAGTTGGATTCATTAAACTGTTTGCTCTTTTTTTCCCCCTCCTTTTTATATGTATTAACTTGGAAATTTCACTCCTGAATTTAATATTAGTCATTTTTGAACCACCTATAAATTGAGCAATAGCTCACATTAAAGTCCTACTTTGATTATTAAATTGTGACTTGTTTACTTATGCAGACTAAAATGTCTGTATGAATGCATATCCTGCTTTCTCCTGACTGTTCTAACACAAAGAGGTAATGACTTCAGGAAAAATTAAAATAAAATTAAAAAAAGGGTTTCATTGCTTTTCTTGAAGTTTGGAAGGGAATGGAGGGAAAATTACTTTGCTTCTGCCCTTTTTTTTTTGTTGCTTTAGGAAAGAAAACCCTTGTAAGACCAAAGCAGATCTGTACTGTGGAATTCAAGATAGAGGAGGTGATTTTTTTTTTTTTTTTTTTTCCCCCTTCTTTTCCAAGTTTTACAAGAAGACTGTAAATGGTTTGGTGGTTTGATGAGTACCTTAGTTTTTTTCTCATCTCATATCTGAAAAACGATGATTGTTAACAGTGTTTGTGGTGGTCTTGTTGCTTCATTGAGTGAGTTGCTTTATCTTATCCAGTTCAGCAAAGTTCACAATTTGTAATTATTTTTCTTTTGAAACATCCATCTTCTGTCAGAAGAGCAGAAGTGTTCACAGTCATTACCTAGAGAGTAGGAGAAATGATGTGTCTTTACATCTTTTCTATAGGGACACAGCTTGCAGTATTCTTTTTAATTGACCACTGTTCTTTCTTTTTTGTTTCTTCTGGTTTTGTTGTTATTCTAGGAGTGTCTCTCCCTTATGGTGCTTATCTTACATACTGTTTCATATTTCTTGGGGTGAGTTTTAGCTCTTGAGTTGATGCATCTCTGGTAACTGTTTCCTGCAAATTTGGAAGTACTGAATAGAATGTTTGGCAAACAACATTTATACTCGGCAGGCTTTTGGCTGGTGGTGGCCTATTCAGCAGCCATTTGGAGGCTCTACCTTGCAAATGCTAGCTTCAAGTGTCAAAAAAAACAGTGAGGACTAGGAGGGTTCTGCCAATCTTGAGTTGAGACCCAGGAGTAAGAAACTTTGAAGATAATCACATTCACATCAGAGAAGCTGCACTTGGTAAGTAAAGTTCCTGTCAAACTTTGCATGAAGTCAGAGAGAGCTGCATGTGCGTTTGCAGATGATCAGACCTGTGAGAAGCAAAATTAGTTGGGAAAACCCAGATATCAGTAAGGTCTGTATAGAAAAGGTTAATATTAATGCTACTTAGTGATCTATGCTGTAAAATAAGAAATTGAAAGAATTTAAATGAAGCTGCTTTTGGATAGGTTTTAACTTTAGATGAAAGTAACAGAAATATCCTGCTTTTTTAACTTTAAGAAACTACGAGAAAGTTATAACTACCCTTCAAATTCAATATACACCAATTCTAGTGACAAAAGTAAATATTTTTCAAGTAATGTTTTTGCAGTGTAGTTTTCAGTAGTTTATAGATCATTCAACAGTTAAAACATATTGAAGGTTTAGTCCAAAAGTAAGTTATTAAGACGTTTAATCTCTGAAAACAAGTAGAGTATGTTTTTCCACATTGTGTCTTTGTGTGTGGGTTGAGCATATGCATTTACTAGCCATTTACCAATTTCTGAGCTCTCTTCTCTTTCCTTTTCTGTCAGTTTGATAACTGCAACTAGATACATTCAAACCAAGAAAGGGTGTAAGTTTTTTGTATGAGTTGTTGGAGAAATTGGGGTGCGATGAATTCTGTTATCATTTTAAGACTTCAAACAGGAATTCTTGGATTAAATTTTTTGGTTTGTCTGGGGTTGCAGAGCTGATAAAATGATTTTCCCATTCTGTAACTTTTATTTGTTTTCATCTTCTGCTATGCATCTCTCTTCACAGTAGCCTTGCATATTTCTTTTCCCAGTAAAATAACAAGCATTAGCAGGAGTAAACTGGACAAATTCTAGGGGGTTTGGTATGGTAGTTTGGGTTACGTTTTACTAGAATCCAGTGTCTGTGACATCATAAATAGATTTCTAAATAGGCATACAAAAAAAAAATAGTTTTCAAAGGAATGAGGTGACTGCGGGTTGTGTTCAGGTACTCAAGTACATGCGTACCTTCCAAAATAATCTATTTGTTAGCACACGCTTTGATTTATTAAGTTTGTGTCTGAGTTTGTTTGTAGTTCTGAATCTGTTGGCTGTCATCTCAAATGTCCTTAGTTTGTGTAGGTTTTCAAATATCAGAACACTATTTAGAAACTTGATTTAAAAATCCATAAAACATCATACTTAGAGTAATTTCTGGGAATAGAATTTTGTGGTACTGTTAATTTGCAGGTATAATAAGGTGGAACTAATGCAGTCTTAAGATGAGGTTCATTAGTTTCTTTAACCTGGGTAGTAAAATACTTTGGGTGTACTGTGAAATTTTGGTGATCTCTGGCTTATCTGTTTCAACTATACTTATTTTTGAGAATATGATAATTGTTAATATCCTTTTATTATATATTCAGGGTAATGCTTTTAGAAGTACATTCTACTGTATACATATAGCTGTTATATTTTGTTATGGTAGAAGTTTGAGTACGATGCTGGATTTCTTTTTAATAACTAGTTAAATTATATTGTAAATGCACAGTACTCTTAAAGCTTTCTTATTAAAAGATAGTGCAGGTATGTGCAGGGAGGGGAGCTTAGCAAACAAAAGAGAGAAGGAGGGGGGAAAAATATAGGAAGAGGATATAAATTGGAAAGAGTATTTCTTGAACTAGAGAGAGAAATTTTCTTAACGGAAGTGAGTGTAAAGGTAAGACCAAAGAAGGCATGCTAAATTTAAAACTTTGTTAGCTGAAACCAGATTTGTTAATGTTGATAACTGGTGTGACCATATTGCCTACTGTCAGAAAAATCCTTACTTTTATATGTTTAATAGTTTCAGTGCATGTTTAAAATAAAGTACATGTAGCAAAGCCTGTGAGGCTGTAAGGTTCCTTACATGTGTTTCTCCTATAACAGGAGAGAGACTTTCAAAGATACGAAGAATAGGTAAGCATAAGATTGCCATTAGTATTTGTTGGGAATTGGGCCTCTGATTTCAGTCTGTTCCCCTGGTGTCGAATGGTAGTACAAGTTTTATTGCTTAATTCTGTGCTCTGATTTAAAATAAAAGATTTTGTGAACGTGTTAGTAAAGCAGAGCTAAACTTGGATGCTGTTGAAGCTAAGAGAAGGTAGCTCAGGCATGCTGTAGGTCTTCATATTTTCTTACAAGTTTCTTTGGCATCGCTTTGTTTCCAGAATTTTATACCTCACCTCTCCCTTCTTTTCCTTCTAAAATTTCTCTGCATAACATTTAGAGCTTTGTTAGCTCTTTGAGCTGCTCCTACACATACCTTTTTCTGGTGTCCATGTGGTCTTCAGTATATGAAAGCAAGGCAAAATTTTGCCTGACTTTTTAGCCTATTGCTTTCATGAGGCAGCAAAGATATTTAAACAACTTGCTGTACTAATATACAGAACGGTTTATGTGGGGATTGTTTTTTTCTTTTTTCCCTTCAGTTTAATTACAGGTTTGGTGAGCTGGATTAGCACACTGAAGAGTTTCCAGCACTGGCAAAAGGAGCAAGTAGGAGTGTGCAGCTGGCACCAGTTTTTTAAATTGGCCATTCTCTACTTGCAGAACTTCACTGTTAAAGAACTACCTGAGCAAAATGATACTCATTTTTTTCCTAATGGTTGTTAAGCATCTCTTTGCAAAAACAAACAAACAAACAAAAAAAAAACACTCTAAAAAAACAAACAGGAAAAAAAAAAAAAAAAACAAATAAAAAAAGCAGCCACTCAAACAACCACCTCAACAACAACAAAAAAAAGCTCCTGAAAAGAATCCCCTTTCTTCACCTCCTACAACAAATCAAAGATAAATGGAAAAAAACGCCCTCCTTTCCTTGCTATCAGTATCACAAAAAAAGTGTGGATTAAAAATAAAAAGGTTCTGTTTTCTAGAGCTGTGCTGCTCTAATCTTTGGGTTGCATCTGCATTTCAAAAAGTAATGGACAACTCTCAGAAGTTCTGATCCGAATTAATTACTAAAAAAGTCAGACTGAAAACTTAGATATGTCAGGATAGACTTAGTTCATGCCTTTTGTTAGGCTGAAGTGGCACTGGTGTAATTTTATATTTTGGCATAGTACTACTGACTTTAACTGAAATCTGGTCAGAGAAATACCATGGAAAACAGATTTTGCTCTGGAAAGGGGGCTTTTTCTAATTTATAAATCCACTAACTTCCTCCCTTCCCTTTCCTTTGTAATATGCCTATTAGTGGACACAGTTTGACTGGTCTGCAATAGTTTCATCTCTTGTACTGGTGTTTTTAATTCCCTCTGTAGGAAGTCTCCGGTCTTGCAGTTCATCAGACTGCTTTAGTAAAGTGATGCCTCCAAGGAAAAAGAGGAGACCTGCAGCAGGAGATGATTTATCTGCTAAGAAAAGTAGACATGATGGGTATGTCATCTTACCATGGGCTAAGACTGGAATATCTAAAGATGAATAGCTGATTTGATCATGTTTTTAAATACTAATCTAAATGATATTCAAATTTGATTGGTTTCTTGATGTGGAACCATTGCCTGTGATTCATGTGAACATCTAGTTTCAGTTTGCTTCTCACCTTTTTCTAGCTGTATAACAGGCTTGTAGGGAACTTACGTTCTTGTTTGCCAGTGTCATAATAGATGTACTTGCTTGTTCAAAGGCTTGTAAGAGATACAGTAATGTCTTCATATGTAAAAAAAGTGAATGTAGTTGTAGGCTATTTGCAGCCACAGTCTTACCTGAAATTCTGCTAATCTTTCCCTTTTGTGCTGGTGGTTTTATGCTGATGATGCAAGAGGAAGTTGAATATTGCTCGGGCGAGGTTAATGGTGGAGCACTGATTGAGGCAGTGCTGTTCCCTCTGAGCAATGGAAGTGCATGCGGGTTATAACTGTGGAGGATCATTGTGCTCTTTTGGCACAGGTGCTGCATCGCTGACTGTTCTGGAAATGCTAGATTTTCTGTGAATGTTCAGTCAGCCTCAGTCCTTCAGCATCCTCTGAGTGTGCTCCTTTTGTGCTATTACTTATGTGAAATAAGATCATAACTTGTGGGAGACTGTGCACTCCTGCACGGTAGGTGCCATCACATGCTAGGGAGAGGGCTATAACATACTTACACAGTATTTTGGTGTTGGAAAGTGTTGTGTACTACCAGAATATTTGGCTGCATCTGCCAATAGAACGCGAGCTTTATTACATTCATGTGTTACAGGTGACTCAGAAAACTCAAGCTTCTGTAACATGCACCTTCAGAAAGGTGAAAAGATGCTTTTCCCCTGTCAACCTGAAATGAGGCTGCATACTTTCCTTTTTATTCACTAGCGTGAGTAATAAAAATGCTAGCAGCCAAATTAAGACTCTAGTTATGCCTCTATAACTCCATTGTGCTCAATAGGGTTGCACAACTGTAGCTGCCCTGGAATTTATTAAGTGATCTGCTGAGGCAGAAGAAAGATTTAAAACTCCCTTTCATTGCTTTGAATATGTAAAACTAGCAAGAGCAGAAAAACACTACATGTTCTTAATATTTTTTGCTGGTTTTTGAGAAATATTAGAAGTAAGAATAGAATTAAATGTTTCTAGAATCTAAGTAGAGATGTTTACAAAATTTAAATAACCTCCATTTGGCGAGACCCTGACAGCAAAACAAAACAATTTAACACCCCTAGGAAGATTGTCTGTAGTAGAAGATACTGATCTGTGTAATTCATATAAGAAAATGATGAAAAGCTGATTTCCTACTCTGTTAGTAGTTCACGTAATCACTAAGAGCTTTTTGAAAGTGTAATTCGAATGCTTTTTCCGTCTGCCTTTCAGTTTGTACCTAATGGATCTAGTCTTCATTCTACTGCCATCTAAAGTTTACTTCAGGGGAAAACCTCTGCCTGCTTTTAGAAGCGCAGGTGAAACCAGATTCTGTCAGCTGTGGGCCAGAGGGGAATATCCTTCTCTGATGTGGTTCCAATTTTTGTTTTCCTTCTTAACTTCTAAGGTTTTCGGGCTTCCTCAGCTTCCCTTTGTTTCCTTTCTCTTGCTTTGATCTTCAAGAAAATAGCTTGTGTTTCACCAGACCTGGCAATATGAATTAATTTCCTGAATGTTCAGCTCTATTTTATTTTTGAGTATTTTCTTTTGAGTATTTCTTCAAATCTGGCTTAATGTTTTTTGAGCAAGTCATTTCTTCTCTGCTTTTTGGATAGGGATAGAGCTCCTGTTTTTTTTTCTGGGGGGCCCCCCCCCCCCAAGTTTGGACATTTCAGTGTGTTAGACAGAAACCAATATGAAATTAGGAATTTCTGCAGCAGTGTGCTCTTGTGAGCCTTGTTATCTCTAAAGCTATTGCTTCTGACGCTGTGTGAATGCTTTATATGATAAAAATTGTGCAGGTAGTTTAATGCCAGTGTATATAGATTAAGGGGCTTCTAGGTCTGCTTCTTTACCATTGCTCTCTTTTTAGATGCAGACTTGCTTGAAACTTCATACTGATAACTCAGGGTAAGCTTTCAGGGGACATCAGCCTATGTGGAATCTGTACTGTTAAGTGAAAAAAGGTAGTCAGGGTCTTCCTGAATGTCTACTTTTCATGAAAAACAAAATGTATTATCTACAGGAGAAATGATATTTCCTATCAGAGAGAGGATTTGTTGCTTGAAATGTTTTTGGAATTATCTATGTTTTGTATGTTGTAATGTTAACAAATTCAGTAATTGCTCATCTCCCATTTGCTTTCAGTGTGAAAATGTTGGATGGTACTCTAAAGATTACCAATGGATTGTCATTGTTAAGGGTGTCAGCAAAGCAAGAACCAAATGTTGATAACTTCCCCTGATTTTTCTACACACACACAAGCATACATATATAATCCTTACATGAATAGTTTAATTGGATGATCTTTTCAATCTTCACTTTTTGTGTTTCTGTATTTCCTTCAGTTATAGGAGTACTAATAGGAATACTTTCGAGATGCATATTCTTTGCAGAAAGCTTATTGCAGCAGGGCTCTGTACTGAAAAAAGATTTTGAAAGGCTCTTATCTTCATTAACTCTAAACAAATGTTGTACCAGGGAACTCATAATAGCTTTCACTTTTAGTTTCATTTCTATTTTCACTTTTTTAGGGATACACCCTCATTTTGGAATAACCAGTAGAATGATGATGATGCCTTTTGAAGAAAAGCATTTATAGAAACAAATCTAGATGTTATTGTGGTTATTTGGAGAACTGATTTCATGTGTAGACTAACTATGGAAAACAAAGATTCTTTCTTTCTTTAGCATCCCATCCTTACACAATAAGAGCTTGAATTCTGTTAGTTATTATTCAAAATTTCACCTTGAAACATGAATGTGATATTTTAGTGGGAGGAATTGTTTTTTTTGCTGGAAGATGAACAGTGAAAATAATTCAGTGTGTTCATCTCTAGATTGCAGTAAGATTTATCCCATTTTAGAGAATTGTATTGGAAAGTAGACCTTTCAGTGCACACCTATCAGAACATAATGACTTGAAGGCATTTTATTTCCTTCTCTGTTTGGCAGTCTTGACCATATTGGACTTTGAATTCTCACACTCCAGAGTATTCTCAATTTGGATTTAAAAATGTGTGTTCTGCATGCTGCTCTTTCATCATAATGTTAAGGGTCTTACAGAGGGTTAAATGTTTCATGTAAAGATGGTTGCTAGGTAAGAGTTTAGTCCCTGCTGTCTATCTGCATATCTGTTACGCAGTCTCTAAGCAAAGAATGTCTGCTCCATAGGAAAAAACAGAGATATGTAACATAATGTCTTCTTTCTCATAGTCTCATTTAAAAATATTTCTACTCTTTTCTCCAGAATCATGCTGAGGGAAAAAACGTATAATGTATAAGTAATATATAATAATGTAATGTATATTTGGACCTTAGACTGTTGAAAACTGGGGAAATACACCTGCTTCCCTGAAAGCTGTGTGTGGACCACATAAGGAAATGATGATATGAAAAGCAGATTTATTACTTGAGTTGCAAGCTCTATACTCTGTAGTGAAAAAAACTTAAATTTTTAAAACACAGTCAGTGCTGTACTACTAATGTGGAAAAGTAAGACAGGAGGGTATAACCCTGGAAGTTTTCAAAATCAGTAGTGTTGATAGGCTTCTTTATTCTACTGCAGGCAGGCAGCTTGTGTTGCCAATTATCATAGGTGTCTAGACTTTATTCCTTGAAGTAGAGCTTTTCAAATAGGCATGGGTCTAATTTTCTCTGTTTCTGTACCTTTTAATTGAGCTGGACTTAATAGTTGTGCAGAAACTAGATGTGTGACTGTCAGGGTATATGCTCTTATATGATCCCTTAAGTGAATTTTGTTAAATTTAAAATGTTAGTTTAAGTTTTAAGAGATAACTGTGAACCTTTTATTTAGGGAGGAATATGGCACATTGATAGGAAAGAATTATCTGTCAAGTGAATTTATCCTGAGTGTTGCTCTGGACAGTCTTTGTCACACCTTGTTAATAGTAGAACTTTTTTTTTTAAATGTGGTTTACTACGTTACATATGAGGCAATTGCTAAAATTGGAAGTCTGAGTGAATATGTGTGTGTTCTTTTGCTTCTGATGTGTGCCTGAAATTGTATAGGTTTCTCTTATGGACCATCAGTGCATAAGCAAATTGCTAATCTGTGATGTAGTTGGTGTAGTTGTTGTATATCTGTTCTAAGGTACTGATGCTTGGCATTGTGAGAAAACTGTGAGCCATCGAGAACTTGAGTAAACCAAAGTTCTGTTTGGTAGATGTTTGGTTCTCAATGAGTTCTCAGGCATCCAACCTGTGCGCTCTGGCAGTTTGTATTCATTTGTGTAGCAATGGGCACCATTCTTAGCACAAAACACATCGTCTTATAGTGTGTGCAGAGAAATTCTGAAGACAGAATAAATATTCTGTTATCCAAAGTCAGTGCCAGACTTTTCTGGTGGTTTGTGGTTTTCCTCTGTGCACGTAAATCTATATTGATGTTAGTTCAGAGAGCACAGTCTCTGGAACCACCCTTACCCAGTGCTACCAGGTTGAGCTTGCAGTGACATTGAACAGAACTGTCCTGGGCTGTGATCTCAGATACTTACCCAGTTACTTGTTTGTAACTTGCTCTCATCTCACTTCCCAATGCACTCTAGGGATTAGGATTCTCTAATAGAAATAGCTGGTTTGTCTAGACTTGAAGGAGAAACCCATTTGCTATTTACAGTAGGTGGTGTGAGGATGAGCTTCGTTTCTATATGTGAGAGCTAACTAATATCAGGTTTGCTTTGGTGTGCTTGCTTCTGTCATTTTCCTTCTCAAATGATCCATGTCTTATAAAATATATGCTGTGTTGTTACTTCCCTTAGACTGAGAGAATGACGTGGAATTCATACAGCCACCTTTGTTGCATGGTTGTAGTTTACAGCAGAGATGAGAGCAGCCCAAGATGATATCCTTTCTAATTTTTGAATTTTATGAAGTAGTTTATTAGCATCATAGCTTGAGACATCTGATCAGTTCTGGGTTCTGAGAAGTTAGACTCCACTGGCCAGGTATGGAGTTATCTGGTCACATGTTGGACATGTGAACTTACTATTGTCATTGTTTCCTTCAGTTCCTAAAGAGTGACTTTAGCTTTAAACACAGCAAATCCACGTCAGTCCTATGAAAACTTGCTAAATGTAGATACAGTGAATGGATAAAAAGAGGTATTTTGTTATGTTTCGATTTTCTGTTCCTCTTACTCTGCCTGTCATCACTGGTATCTTGGTTCAGGCTACAGTATTTAATTCTGCCAATTGAAAAAGCAGGAATTCTTTTTCTGTAATACTCAGATGATCAAGAGCTCTGTCAATGTATATGTTTCTTGAGGGATCCTTCCCAGACCCACTGTTCACTTACTGATAGCCACTGTGTAGACAAGTTAAATGAGGAATCAGGAGAGGCACTTTCTTATCAGCCCCAGTCTTGCAATGAGTATAATTCTATCTTAGGGAGCTACACTAGCTTTCCATGTTTAAACTCCTGCTGCTATCAATTTTCAAGTTTATATTCCAGTTAGAGTTTTGTCATATTTGCATCAAAAATAAGGGGATATTGAATAATTAAACTTTTGTCAATGTAGCAGAATGCCTTTCTTTGTCTCTATGCTTTCTTCTTCTGCTTCCTCTGAATTCAGAATATCCTGAAACATGTTGGATGAGTCATTCCTAATCATAGTTAATTCTGCAACTATGAGAATGCTTTTTTTTTCAGACTGCTTCCAAAAAAAAAAAAAAAAGAAAAGAAAAGTAGGTGGGGAGAGTTCAAGGTAGGAGGTGGAGAGCTCCAGCTTTGTCTTTATCTGACCTAATACCTTCTGGCTTGGTTGATTCCTTATTGGGCAGCAAAGTCATCCTGTTCTTTTGCAACTGCAATAAAGGTTATGCATATTATGTAATTCAACTAGGAAAAAGTGTTTCCAAAATCAAATAAAGAGTAAACTGAGTCTTGAGTATATCAATATGTGTTTTTGAGATGCATGGCTCATTTGTCTGCTGAGTTTTTGTTTCTTGAAGGTCAGCATGTTTTAGTGCAATGTAGATTTTTCCTTCAATCTTGAAATTTCTAAAGATCTTCCTTTATATTTTTCTTCTAATTAGTAGGTTATAATTTTCTTGTGACCATTATTACTTTTCTAATAGTTGCTTTAAAAAAAAAATGATGACAATAAACATAAAATAGTTCTTTGTGCTACTGTCAGTGCAATATGTACCTTTTACTGGATAGAAACATACAGCTGGGTGGAAAATGCTGCTAGCAGAAAATGATTGTACTTCAATTGTATAAGTAGAGAGATCTTTTACGTGTCTGGCTGGAAAGACAAAATGGTGATGAAATCAAATCCATTTAATTTCACGAAGTTGTTTCAGAATGATCATGAAACCAGTTAGCAGCTTGGTTGTCTGCCCAAGCAAGGTTTGATACTTTGAGAGGAAAGGCTGCATGTTTGGAGCACTTACAGAACTGTTCATGGCTTGCTTCTCTCATCTTTGCTCCTCAGCTCTTTTCCATCTTTTAGCCTAAACTATTGTAGAGTGATGGAAATGGATCAGACTGTGCAGCATTGAACAACTACTTGCATTGCTGAGTCTGTCTCTTTAACAATCTCCCACAAAGTGGTGTTTTCTGATCCAGAAAAGCTTAAAGAGGATCGAGTAATTTCTGTCACACATTGTGTATGTTTTATATGATTCAGATACTCAATTCAGGAGGCTGGTGTTTCAGTGTTATTTCTTGAAAGCAGTTAAAATTCTTTAGGTTTGTCTGAGGGGTACATTACCTTGTCGGTCATCTCTGTGAGGAAGGAAGCACTACTGATTTAAATTTTCAGATAACTGTTGATACAACCTATGATGAATGGGGTTCTTTGAGTTACTGTCAGTGGGGACCTGTGACCTCCTCTCTCTGTTGTTTGATTTTTTTGTTTTTTTTTTATTTTGTTTTATCTTGTTACCAACTTACTGCCTGTAGAGTAATGTTACTATGGGTTATGCCTGTTTTGCTCTTTATGCCTTTTCTAGAATTTTTGAAGAGGCAAAAAGAGTGTTCAGTTCTCCATAGTTAATAAATAATGCATGAAGTCTGCATACACCTACAGGTAGGACTACAGTTAACAATAACACGGAGTTACTGTGGGTTTAGACCCACAACCAAATTGCAGCCTGTCAGTTGAATATGGTAGCTAGTAGTATGCACAAGTCTTCCTTGGACTTGCATATATTGCATATATGATATTCGGGGTTGAATCTGGACCGGGCTATTTTTGTGGTTAGGATGGTTCATGCTTACAATGGCTGTTGACTAAACTGTTGCTTTTTAAACTTTGCAGTACTAATTTTTTTTTTTTTTTTTTTTAAGAATGTATAGAAAATATGATTCAACTAGAATAAAAGCAGAAGAGGAAGTCTTTTCGAGTAAAAGATGCTTAGAATGGTTCTATGAATATGCAGGTAAGTGTGAAATGCAAGTTTCCTCTCAATAAAATTTAACCTATAAACTTAACTGCATTAAGTGAGCTGGATGAATGAGCATACTTAACTATTCTAATCTATATTTAAAATTGTACTTCTGTACAAAATGTTGCCTCTCTGTCTCTATAAGTTACTCCACCTGCCGTGTTAACGCTGAATAGTGCAAAAACTTCCTAGGGAAGGTACGTTTGTAATGTAAAAATAACCAGACTAAATAAAAAGGTAGCAGAGGTAGTAATATTAACTGTTGCTGCTAAACCTGGTGGTTCTGGTTTCTAGCATAGAGACAAATAAACACAAGTGTCCTGTAACAGTCTTTGAATAGTTTTCCATTAGAAGGTACAAAGAGGGTCAACTGAATTACTTATTATTGCTTTAATGTATGAGAACTTCCTTCAGGTAGGGTTATTGATTATGATCAATGGTCACAACAGCTCATCCATTAACAGTGAGTGAAGTCATCGGTCATGATTTGTTTTCATTGTTTTTACACGTGCTTTTCTGACGGGGAGAACTTCAAGTATGGGGGAAAAAAAAATCTCATGACTGTAAAGAAGACCAAAAGGAAATGAAATAGGTGTTTGACAAAGGATACAAGGTCATCTTACAGTTTTCTGCTGTTGTTTTGGATAACATTGCTCACAGTTTGTTGTTTTTTGTCTTTCCTCATGTGTAATGAAGAATGACTTAATTTGACGTAATAAATCATTTTTCTTCTAATAAAGTTAAGTAGTTTGAGATCTCATATGTCTGTGGCAGTCTGTGAAAGGAGATTCAATTTCAAGCCAAACCTTACCTGTTAGATTCTGCAACTTTCTGATCATCTTGATTTATTTATTTTTTTTACTCTAGCAACAGGAATAACTCATTTTTATCACGACTTTGGTGAAGAGAAGGGATGAAAGGAAGGATGTGTATGAAAGATCTTTTGATTTTTTCCATTGCCTGCATGCACCAAGCTGTAACAGAAAAGTGGAGAGTATGATCTTGTTTATTGTACTGAATAACATTGTAAAAAATGAAAGTTTTTTTTTTTAGTTATAATCTCTTCTGTGCTCTCTTCTTAAAGTCTTCTCCTTTACATCTGCAGACAGCACTGGATTTGTTGTTTTTTTTCTCTAGTGTGTCTTTATTACAGAATTAATTTTATTTTGAAGGAGTTTGATTACGGTCAGAAGTGTGAATGGGAGGATGTCATAGGAAGATGGGAAAATATTTAATAAAACCTTGTTATTTCTAGAATAGTAGGTGGCCTCATAGTAAAACTTAGAATTATTTTCCTTTTCATACCTCTTTCTTGTACTGTTTGTATTGAATAGAAGTACGGGTGTCAACCTCTAATGCTTTTCTTCCCAAAGTAAGCCCTTCTTAATGTGAATGAAATAATTCTAAAAAAATAATCCAAATATGTAGTATATTAAAACAAAAAAAAAGCAGTACAATTATGCCTACAACTTTTTTCAATGTAATGTAGATGCTACAAACATCTAAAAAAATAGAGTATTTTAATGACATCTGTTTTTGAACCTTTTTTCATTTTAAGTCAGCAAAGATATAGCTATGTGTAATTCATACTTTCATTTCCCCCTGCAGTAACTAAAATTCACGTAATGTGCAGCTGTAGTATTACTGCCATATAGATAAATAGGAACATGACATTTCAGAGTCTTTTTGGTAGATAACATTTTATAGAGTTAGTGTGTGAATGAAACAGTGGAGTAAGATTCTGGGAATGAGTCTCTTGTGTCATAGATATCTAGATACCGTAATCTTACGTGATACAATGCTGTGATAACAGTAGAGATTCAAGCTAAGAAATGAGTTTCAGTAATCATTTCAGTAATCATTGTTCACTCATTTAACCATGCTGATGTTACCTGGATGTTCTGCTAGTCTGTATTGTTAAAGATCTTATTCATGTACTGCTCTAAGATTGTCTTGGTAACTGGGTGGAATAAAAGATGTTAGCAAGTGTGAAAATTTGTTCTATAGTTTTTCTGTCTTTGTTTCCAGAGGTGAGATAAAGATACATGTGTATCCACGTCTGATTGTAAGTGGGGAAATACTTATTGCATGCCAAATAAACCTACCTAGAGTTTATGAAAGTTCAGATTGTGATCACTGTGATTAAATTTCTCTTATGCTCTAAAGATCACTCCATTATAATTCTCAGAGATATGTAAAGTGCATTTTCTTTGCAGGCACTGATGACATTGTAGGGCCGGAAGGTATGGAGAAATTTTGTGAGGACATTGGAGTTGAACCAGAAAACGTAAGTTTGAAGTCCATTCAGAAGGTGCATAGTGTGTTATGATGTTGATGAACCTAACTTCTCCTGTTTTCCATCAAGAATAAAAGAAATTAAAATAGAATTTTTGGGAGAGAAAGAAATATGAACCAGAGATGTTTAAGCGCACATTTGGAACCAACTTGCCTTTGTTCTGAAACTAGAATTGTTAAGTTGACTAAAAGCTCAGTTTGCCTTTGCCACACCTTCCCCCCCATTTTTTCCCTCACTCCTCCTACCAAAAGAAAGAAATAAAAGTTTAGGAAGAGACTGCACTGGAGATTTGACACAACTACCAGCTAATGTTTTCTATGGGAGAAAGGTGGTTTGAATATTGTGAGCAGTATTAGCAATCCCATTATGCTGTTTCAAAACCCAAGTAAGGTGAAATTTTATTTTTATGTTTATATATACATGAAGGAGAGAGGGAATTTTAGGAAACAAATAGCTATACCTTTTGCAGCTTTTTTTCTGGTGTCTAATATATACTTTTAAAAACATATGTGCAAGTCCCATCTTTTGCAAGATTTGTAAATCATCTCTCATTGGTTAAAATGAGATTTAAGTTGAATGTTTTGCTGGTAATATAAGATGAAATTTGCTACCGTTGGAATTTATTAGTGTGGTAAACCCTTGAGATTGATAGACACATTTCAGTTACATAAGTAGATATCCTGACTTTGTATTAGCAGTATAGAGCTGCACTAGTATTAGCCAGAGTTGCAAATTGAAATTGCTTGATTACACTTTTTTTTCCTAGTCTGCAGGAATAGTTGCCTGCCACTTTTTCCATGCATATGTCTTAAGTATCCTGAATATGACAGTAATCTTCCAATATCACTTTTCCAAATTTATTGCTTCTTCATTGCTTCTGTGTTCTATGTGAGATATTAAAAGGATTCAGTTTCCTTTGGGGCAAAATTGCTTCAATTATGAATCAGCCTGTGGATTGATATGTGCTAATGTTAGTTCATTCAGTGTGTTTAACATCTACTTGAATTATACCTCAGTTCAGACTTGCAGAATAAGGTGGAGTTGACAGTACCTTGTGGTAGCTGGATTCATGTGGGATCAGTATCACCTTTAAAACAACTGGATTTCATAAAGCTTATGGATTGCAATGGATGCTCACCTAGATGAATTTAACAAACTTAACTTGTCTCAAGTTAGTGCTTAGATTTAATAAATTTGGGAAACATTTTCTGTAGCCTGTGCTGGCTCATCTTCCTCATGGTTGCAATGCACACTAGCTTACTACTGTGACATTCTGTGCATGCTCCCTTGAAGTAATGTGACTAACCTAACTGACTTTCTATCTTCGTGCTGGAATCTATGGTTTGAATCATATGCAGGTTTGTTGTATTCAGATTTAACTTTTAAATAGCTGCTCAATAGCAAAGTTCTGAATGTTTTGTTTATTTGAGTAAAGTACTTGTAGCCTACTAAACAGCAACTGAAAAATATGCACATAGTTTTGTTGATTCTCTTCAGCTTTCCTATTTTTTCCTCTGAAATAGGTAGTAATGCTTGTATTAGCATGGAAGTTGGATGCACAAAACATGGGCTACTTTACATTACAAGAATGGTTAAAAGGAATGACATCATTACAGTAAGTGCTTTGAAGAAACTCTTTCTAATAGTAAATACAGGTTGTTGTAGAAAAAATGCACTTTGATGTTTTAATCATAAAACAGAGTGCTCTACTTTAGAGCAGAAGCAGTGTCACTTTGTCACTGCTTCTGGTGATATGGCTCATTCAAAGATAACTTGAAACCTGGCTGCTGCTTGCTTGACATACTTTTAAAATGTCTGCAGCCTCAAGAAAACAGAAATACAATGGGGGACATTTGCAGGGAGATCTGTCTTTGTCACTGGGTAGGACCTATTTCTTTCTGAGCTTTACTGTCATTGTATGAGTGTTAGATATTGGTATGTTGTTAGAGCATATTCAGTTTAAAATAAATGCTAAACATTGCAAACGTTTTTTGTGACTGCATTTTTGTGTTCTTTCTAGGAGTTGCGTTCTCCAGTTGCGGTCTTATGGCATAATTAACATAGAAGTAGTTGAATAACTACGTTTCATAGAGCTGGGGGGAAAGAACTATGTTTTGGCTTATCTTTACAGATCACCACAACTTTAGGAAGTTCTATAGCTTTGCTGAAGCTATGGAAGTATTGTTTCCCTTCTGTGGTTTGTTGGTTGGTTTCCTTTTGTAGGCGAATTTGTGGTTTAATCTCATGGGAAGTGCATTTTCTACAGCTTCAAACAATTTTTTATGACAGTACAAGCATAAGACTTTACTAGTTTATCTAAGTGTTTTGTCCTGTGGGTTAAATCAAGGCATCTTAAGCAGGCAAACTTATGCCTTCGTATTTTATGCAGTGTTGGGGATATATGTTAAGATTATTTTTCTAAGAACATCAGACATCTGTGTAAGAATGTAGACTATGAATTCATTCTTTGCTTTTCTTTCAGATGTGATACTACAGAAAAATTGAGAAATTCTCTGGATTGCTTGAGATCTTTATTAAATGAGCCTACCAATTTTAAACTTATTTATAGATATGCATTTGACTTTGCACGGGTAAGTACTGGAGAATGCTAATGTATAAAACTAAACTTTATTTGATAGGTAATGCTTAAGAGTAAATATGTTTCTCTGAAGATATCAATCAAGATTCTCTCTAACAAATGTTTGTGTTATAATCACTTTTTTTTTTTTTCTTACTGTTTGAGTTTTCTATGCATAAACATTTAAAACAGCAAGGCATTTCAGCCTTTTCTGCCAGTGGTAAAAATAATAAATATGTTGAGAGGTGATTATAATATAACTATTGGTTTTAAAAAGTCTTGGAAGATCATCAGTTATGTTCTTAACATTTATGAAGCAACATGAAACAATGTCCTGATATCAGCAGAGCAGAGTAAAAGCAAGCAAAATGTGTGAGCTGCGGTAAGTGTTCATTAAGTGAAGGAGAAGTGGAAATAGAAAAAAAAGGAAAAAAGCAAGTTCTGCAAAGACAGTTGTTCACTGTCTTCCACAGGTAGACCTAGACAGATGAATAACTTCCTTAAATCTGCTCTCTCGCTTTTGTTGCTGAGCATGATGCTGTAAGGCATGGAGGATCTCTGGTTGATTTGGGTCATCTGCCTGGTTGCATCTGCCTGCCCAAGCTCTTGCTCATCTTCTGTCTATTCACTGGGTGGGCAGAGGGAGAAACAGCAAAGGACTTGATGTTATGCAAACACAGTTTAGCAGTGGATAAAACATTGCTGTATTATCAACTTTATTTTGGTCGATGACACAGAACACATCACCAGACAAGTTGCTGTGGAGAAAATTAATTCTGTCCCAGCCAGAACCAAGTACGTTGTGTGAAGGCTTATTCTGGTAATTCTGCTGAAAATAAAATACAGAGGTTAGAAGTACTTAACATCGCCAAGGAAGTTCAAGATACTGGTGAAATATATTGAATTGATTAAAAAAAAAAAAAAAAGTTTTACTAATAGCAAATCTGTGCCAGCTGGTGACCTATCAAAAATAAATGACAGGCCATCAAATCACTTCTGAAGAGGTCAGTGGATGGTTTTCAAGAGGTGCAAATGGATCTGGCAAACAGTGCTCTCAAGAAAGGTTTCTAACACAGTCAAGATGTTCTGACATCTTTTGAAAAAAAAAACAAAAAACCACAAAACTGTAGATTTGCAAGTTGATAAGATTGCAACTTGCAAATCATATCAGCAGAACTTCTGAGATGTACCAAAGTCATGTTTTCAAGTTACTAAAACTTTCCTACTAGTCAGGTAGATACAGGTAGATTTCCTTCTAGTCTGCTAGATACAGATGGTGATGTTTTTTCTTTAAAAGACAAAATAACACACAAGCAAGAACAGACAACAAGAAATTAAATCCTGGCCCTGCAAGCCTGAATGTAACTGCTGCTAAATTGGCATAAAGCTGGAACAGTTTTGAGAGAAGTCTCCATTTGCTATGTTACAGTATCATGTTACCTGTGCTTGTTTGAGAATTCATTTAATCTGAATTTAATGTGATCAGTAGAATAACAGAACAAGGAACCTCTTCTGATCACTTTCACATAGTTGTTGTTAACTGATAGCTGCTTAGTTACCTTCTGACAGGTCGTGTCGTGTTCATGTTGTAAGAAAACCTCAGGAAATATGTGCAGTGATGCTGCTTTAGGACTCCTATGGCTGTGCAGATGCATGCATACAAACATGGGTATGGCTGTTGTTTTTCTAGAAAGTTAGGAGGTCACAAACAGAAATACATGCCTCTTCAGTAAGACTTTCTCAAATAACTGTCACTGCTATGGAAGGCATCCTCCTCAGTGAGCTGTGAGGAATGTTGGGTTTTAATTAAAAAAAAAAAAAAAAAAAAAAAAACACATTTTTTTTTTTGTTAAAAAAAATTTTTTTTTTTTTTTTTTTTTTTTTTTTTTTTTTTTTTTTTTTTTTCCCCTTTTGGCTTTTTTTCCATTTCATGCAGGAAAAGGACCAGCGCAGCCTAGACATAAATACTGCCAAATGTATGTTAGGCCTTCTTTTAGGAAAAACATGGTCTCTTTTTCCAGTATTTCATCAGTTTCTAGAGGTAAGGATGTTGAAGCAGACTTTGTCTGTCTTGTCTGGCGCTATTTGACTTAGATATGGAATGAATAGATTTTTTTTCTGAATTAAATTATACTAACACTCCCAAAATGGCATTTGTGACTGGTTATAATTTCTTTCTTTTTGTTTTTCAAATCCCTATTCTGTTGATCTTTATTTGGTGCAAGACAGCGTATAAAATCTCTTTGATTACTTCTTGACTTCTGTTCTTTTTTGATGCATTTGTCCACTAAATGGTAGCTTAAAGTGAAACATACATTATTCAATACTAATTTGATGGTTTAGTGGCTTTTTAAATCCTATTTAATTTTAGATGAGATGCAAATAATGATAATTCATTCCAAGGCTTAAATTTCCTGCACGAAAATTGAATTTGAAGGAGTTGAAGATGCGTTTCAGTAACTTCTGTTTCTTCCCTCAAGCAGCAATCAAAATACAAAGTTATCAATAAGGACCAATGGTGTAACGTTCTTGAATTCAGCAGAACAATCAACCTTGACCTCAGTAATTACGATGAAGATGGAGCCTGTAAGTACTACCATATGTTGGTGTTTTAAAATAATTTATTTCTCTGAGCTTAGTTATTTGGTGCTCTTTTATGAAATTTTGTAAAATGCAGTTATTTGATCTCTCTACAGGGCCAGTATTGTTGGATGAGTTTGTGGAATGGTATAAAGGAAAACAAATGACGTAGGAGTTCAACTATGCACAGCCACTCAAGAGTCACTGTTACCACAGTTATGTCAACCATTAGCCATAAACTGCTATTTGTATCAAAGTGCATGCTGCTTTTCTTGCACTGCGTTCCTTTTGCAGGGAGCTTTTGGTGTTTGCCATTTAACAAGCTAGCTATGCTTGCTGTGTAGCATTGTTCTCTTTGAAGGCTGCTTTGCATTTTGTATTTACGCTACAAATTGGTGGACTTGCCAGCGTCTTCACTGTGATTATGTGTATATTGCTGTCGAAATTTTGTATATGTGTATAAAAAAAAAAAAGCTTCAACTAGGGATTATTTCTGCAGAAATGTATTGTTAAAATAATTTTGTGGCATATTTCTAGTCATCACTTACATGTTTGTTGAAACTTTAGTTATTTTGCTTTTCTTTTGGTCTCAAATGTAGCATTTCAGAAAATGGACAGACTGCTTGGACATAGTTACGATGAAGAACTATTGTCAATTTTAATGTTACTATTTGAGATGCCAATTTCTGAGGGGAGAAGACATGCAGTGACTTTCTTAACGGAAATTCGCCAAACTTGACCTATTGCTTAATAGGAATGAAGCATTGATGTCTTAAAAACAACAACAAAAATCATATATAAATATTAAATCACTGTAGTAGTTGTACATGCCACAGTTTATTTCCATTTGAAGAAAAAGTACTGACTTTTTAATGTTAAAACTGCAGTAGTCGTTACAGGTACAATTGAACAAATTAAAGTACCTTTTAAAAAATGGGTTTTAGACTTTTGTAAATTGCCTTTGGCATACTCCTTTTAATTTTTGTTGTACCAAGAGTGTTTGGATTTTGTTGCAATATAGTGAAAGTTCTCGCTAAAAATAGTGGTCTGGGGAATAAAATCTGCTCACCTCTAGCAAATAGGTAATAGAGATTTCTCTTTTCTGATTTGTAACGTTGGTCTTTCACATGGTCTCTAACTTTATGTTTCTGAGTAATTAAACGTATCGTCAAAATGTTGCTTTTTCTTTCATGCAGGGGATTGGAATTCCCTAGCAGGATGTCCATTGCAGGCAATGGGCACGTTAAACACCAGTATTAAATGACTACTTTCTATTAGGGACCACTTCCTACTTCTCTGATTTCTTTATCTGTGTGGGACAGTTCTAGTGATTACTTTGGCAAAAATGACCGAGTGAGTGGGATGATGCTTAATTGCTGTATTTTTGTTGCCTTGTCTTTGCCTTACTCTTCTTTATTAAAAAAATGTCAGCGTTAACTTTTATAGATCAGTTCTTGAAGGATCCGGTGCTATTAAACTTCATTTTCTAAGCATTTAATAAAATGTTCCATATTAATTCATGGAACATGTAACATAAAAGGGCCAGTGGACACTTCAAAACGAAGAACAGCATTACTTTTCTGTAGAAATATTTAATGAGGCATTGGCAGTTTAGATATTTCTCAGAATGCAATCCAGGGTATGTGAGGGGAAGGGTGTGTTTTTAGGTTGAATGTGAAATTTCCAGCTGTCCCATTCTGATATCACCAAAGTCAGGAACAACTGTCACTAACTCGGCTACTTTCAGGATTAGTTCTGCAGAAGCATATTGGTTTACTGCCCTGGTCTGGGATGTTGTACCTGTTGGTATGGGTGGTTTAATTGTGGTCAAATCTGTGTTTAGTTGGTGGTTTTTGTTTGTCAGACTAAGCTGCCAAAGACAAAAATTGTTTGTGTGTGTTTGTGTGTATTTGTATATACATAAGTATGCACTATGTATACATATACAAAACCTGGAATTTCATGAAGCTAAGAAGAAAGTACTACCATTTCCCATGAAATAGTCACCTTTGGATTTCCATGACACTAAATAAATACATAGCACCCTTTAAAGTTAGTATTGGTGAAACATACATAGTCGTTGCTTTCTCCTTATTAATACACATAATCTTAATTCCATGTTTGATGCCAATTTTGCACAAGAAATTAATTCAGTGAAGTGTGGTATTTAATGTTTACAATAAGCCTCTTACACATTTTAATAAGACTTCTGATGTAAATGTGTATATTATCATAGAATAACTATAAGTAAATATCAGTGGAACTGCTGATTTAGTTCTTAAAGAATAACTTTGGAAGCAATATAACTTGTAACATCAGGCTACATTGTCTTTGCTAAAATCTTAAGTGAAATATTGTAATTTTCTTAAATGTTAGGCTAGTTACTGACAATAGAATTTAGCACAAATTAGCATGAATACTGCTAAAATACAAGGTTTGCATTAAAAGTTTTGTATGTCACAAAAATTTGGCTTCCAGTAATGGAAGCAAGAGCCAAAGACACTTAATCTATTACTGTTACAGGTGTAATTTTCACATAACAGGGTCAGCAGAAATCTGTTCAGCTTAACTGGGTGCTCTTATTCAAGGTTTACGTAATGTTTTGCAGGATACAAAGTTTGAAAGCAAAGAAAAGAGAGAAAAAGAAACGTCAAAGTGCTCACTCTGTGTGAGTAAACTTTCCATTTTCCTCTTTGGATAAAAGTAATTGGGAGCAATGGAAAGGAAGAATGTGTTTGGGAACAGATTAGATATTGCCCATTTTGTCTTCCATTCACAGCCAAGATGAATTTGTGTTCAGTGACTGATTTATAATGACCGTAAGTAAGGTAAACCACAAATGCAATTACAGCTTGTTGGCAACTTTACTAAAATGTACAGGAATGGAAAGAAATGGTCTGGAAAAAAAAAAAAAAAAAAAAAAAAAA